TAATTTTGGCCCAATCATTATGACTGGCCAAAAACTAACTATTGAAGACCAATCGAAAATCAAATTTAGTAGTACCTCTTGGAAGTTGTTGGAACATAAAGAATAATTACATACATAAAATATCAAATATCATATATCAATATCAGAATAACATTAATTTATTTATAACAGACTTTCTGCTTTATTCTTTCTTATCATGCTGAGGATATTCTAACAATTTTGATCCAATCTTGTGACTGCCCAGAAACTGATGAACCCCCAATCCATAAAAAAACTAAAATTTAGTTCGTGCGCTTGAAAGGTGTTGGAACATAAAAAAAAAAGATGATGCGACATCTAAAGTATAGTTGAAGAGGTGTCTGGGCTTAATGGAAAAGCTTATTAGTTTATATGAGCTGCTGATGATTGCCGAGACAAGTCAAGTTCTAAATGTCGCCGGCAATGGCAGCTCAGTTCAAGGCAAAGACGTAATTTAATTGCACGGCGTCTATTTGGAGATACAAATGTATCTGAAACACGTTAGAGCCCAATTAAAAAACAGAGCCAAGACACTAAGACCAAAGCAAACATTTTAAATAGAAAATTACACCTGACTCGATAGATATACATATATTCATATATATATAAAGTCATATGTATATAAGGCGCCAGGTCGTATGATAGTTATAGATACAGATACTATTGCAGTTGCAGATACAAATACAGATACAATAGCCCGCTTACATATAGTTAGACAAGTTATTAACAACAGCAGCGGCAGCAAATGCTTTATATGATTGAACCAGCTTATTGTGTTAGCTGCTTTGACTTTTTGTTAATAACTATTTAATTGAGACGTTTTTTAGCATTTTAATTATAGACAATATGCGCGCAATTATTTGTCATAAAGATAATGATAATCTCAATAAAAAAAAAGTTGATTCTTTTATTTGAGCGACGTTAGTTAATTGGTTCAAGTCTGCTATATGATTTATCTCATATATAACTAAAAAAGCCAGAAGAGAGAGGGAGAGAGAGTGCGCAAAAACTAGTCACAACAATGTCAAATATAAATAATTATATATATTTGTCTAACTATTTGGCATGTATTTGAATTTTACAACCAATATTTGAGTGACCTGGGGTAATTCCTTGCCTGCCAACCGTAGGCATTTCACAATTTGAGTCGAACTAAAGTCCCTCATAATCGGTTAAACCATTTCACAAGCACATGTTGTGATTTCAATATATTCACATAGCTGTCATATCTTTGATCTGCCGATTGGCTCACATCTATATATCTATCTATATACTATCTGTTAACTGTTTCTAATATTTAGCACAAATAGATGATCTGCGGGTTTTTCGGCCTTATTGCATCGCTTCGCCGATAACAGTTGACAGCGAGGTGACAATGACGCGATAGTGCACTTCGCGTGGGTTCCAATAAAACACCGACTCGACTCTGTCTATCTAAGTTGATAAGTCTAGGTAAATATAGGCATAGGTCACGCTGACTGCGGATGAGCTCAACATTATCTTTGCATTTGCATTTGGGTTTTACGATGTGGTCTTGTTTGATGACACTATTATTTGATTGGATAAATATATGCATATATATATGTGTATAGATAGATGCATTTTTACTTGTCATTCATCAACAGCACCAGCTTTTTATAGAGAAATTTATAATTTATAAGTAAGTCTGAAAGTTCAAGGTCGTCTTTCATCAACTCAAGGGCTCGAATTGTAACTAGAAATTAAAGTTGGATTATCACTTATCCTTCGATTTGGTAACATTTCAAATTAAGGGCACACAATGCGATCTTCCCTTTGTATCTCTCCGATACTTTTATCTTCATCTGATTAAAGAAATATTTTTATTGTAGCTCTGAGATAGCCTACTTGATATCTCATCTTTCAGTTTTATTATTGTCATATCTAAGAGATATTTTCACATACATCCTAAAGATGTGTGAGAAGCATTCAGATAAGCCTGCATTTCAAATCTTCAACTATATACTTAAATACACTTGTAATTTACAATTACTTATGTATCTTAATTATTCTTTCGTATCACTCATCACTCTCCATTTCTTAGATTACATTCTTTATCTCTTAGGTAGTTTTATGTATTTTATAGATAATTTGTCGCATTAGCTTGCATAATTCAAGAATTCTTTAGTAGAGAGTGATTTCTTCTACTCTTAAGGATAGTTTATCATCATTATAGGTTTTTAGATACATTTATGACTTACAGATACTTTTGTATCTTTAGCTTTATCTAGCATGGCAAAGACACTATATTAATTGAATCAGTAAGTTAAGATTGCATCTGACAGATTCTATATTTTACTATTTTAGTATTTCAAATTCAATTCAATGTGTTTTTTTTTTTTCAAATTCTATCTACAATTTAGTTTTATAACTCCCAAATTGTTATTACTGTATTTCAATGGCTCTACATATTATATCAATAGCCTAGTATAGTTAGTATTGTATCTCAACGATTTTATATGGATCTGTAACTGAGTATATATCTCAAAGATATGTCAACTTGTCATCTATCTCAAAGCTTCATTCCCTCACTCACATCTGTCAATTACACATTATTGTGCAGCTCTCTCATTGATTATTTATAATTGTTTATCAGCGAAATCAATGAAATTTTTCATGAACATATTTTGTATACAATTTCTTAATGAAGTGCAACTTTTCAATGGACTTAATCCCCATTTCAATTCCCCAATGATTCACTATGCCTTTAGCCAATTGTGTGACTTATTGTTAGCTTAATTGTGCGGATTATATAAATATATGTAACTTAATATATATATTATTTTAATTCTACGCAATAAAACATATTTTTAATACCAACGCTCGTGGCATTTCTAATGAATTCTTGAACTGTTTTATCAGTTATAAAATTCTCTAGCTTTTTTTAATTTTAGGTACAACCCCTTGAGGCTAATTACCTGGGCTGGCCTGGTCAGTAATGCTAGGGTTGTAAAAGCTATAAGCAGTAAAAATCTATATAGATAAATAATAGAGTAGGCAACTATATGCATTGATTAATATTGAGGGAATAATTATTTAAACAAAAGCTCAGGTGAATTAGTAGTGTTGAGGTAATTGGCAATTACAAAACATTTGCATATTACAATTTACAGCGTTGCCAGATCAATGAAAGTGCAGAATCTGCTAGTTAGTCATGTTGATAAGAAGTGATTAGTGTCTACTCATATAAATATGTATGTATATTGTATATTGTTTTCCTAGGCATTACCTTGCAATTGAAAACGTTTTCCACTTTTCGCCTTTGTTACGCATACAAAATGAATTCGATCTTTGGCACGCAGTTCCCCAGTGATTCGAACAAAAGCAACAAATTATTATTATTTTTGTATTGATATCAGGTTGAGTCATTTTTAAGTTGTTTTTTTTTTTTTTTTTATTTATTTTTGCTATAATCGCTATCAATTCATGCTACGGTTCGTGGCCATGTGCAATTTTCATTTGATTCGATTCGATTTTAAATCGAGTTTTGTCTCTTCCTAACTCTCTGTCTGTCTCTTTCTCTTTCTCTCTTTCTTTGTCTGCTCCTCTCTGTCTGTCAGTTATCAGTGGGGGCATTAGGCACGTTATTAAAATGAAGCCGATAAGAAGCTTCCCCTAGCCAGTCTGTTGGGGGTTAATCAAGGGGTTACGACAATTGGGGGCAGCTGAGAGGGGGCTTTTCAAGACGTTGTGCACGGATTGCGCTGCTATGAAATTACATGTTGCTCTAATGCCGCTTGTTTTCATTGCTTGAACAATAGAAAAAAACGTTAGGCAACAATTTCATTTGATGTGATGAAATGCATTTGCTCCATTATACACATCAGTTGGCAGTTGGACTTAATCATATTTGTAATAGCTATATATAAGTATACATATATGTATATATAGAAGATATTATAAGTATTTATATTGGTTGCCTAAGTCGTGTAACATTTTCTATTCTTATTAAGTTTATTATCTTTGATTTATAAACTAACTATTATGCATATGTATAGATATTAATGGAAATTGTTAATAATATTACTTGTTCTTGTTATATTCATGTAGTTATTTATAGATAAAGACGAGGTATTAGATGTTTTATTCCGTAATCTTTCTTGTTCATTAAATACTTGTACTTGTTATTTGTCTGATTTATTTATAATTACATTGAACCTAGTAATTATTTTTACATTCATATATTTATTACCGTTAAATTTCCATCAGCGCTTAATTGGTTTATATGTATATATACATATATATAATTTGATGAATTAGTAACAGTACTAGTAGAAATAGGAGTAGTGTCAATAGTAATAGAAGAAGAAGAAGAACTAGCTGGAAGTAGTACGAGCAATAGTATTAGTAGTAACAGTTAGAAGTAGTAATGCAATAGTAATAGAAGTAGTAGTTAGAAGTAATAGTATCAATAGTTGTAGAAGTTACTACTGTAAGTAGTAGCAATAGTAGTGGTAGTAAATAGTAGCAACAGTAAGAGTAGTAAGTAGAAGCTATAGTACTAAAAGTAGTAAGTAGTAGCTATAGTAGTAAAAGCAGTGGTAGTAGTAGTAGTTAGATATAGTAGTAGCAATAGTAGTAAAAG